AAAAGCATCCAGCCAAGAGAGGTGTATAATTGATAAGACAAAATCGTGAGCCAAGGAGGTGGTTTGCATGGTCAAAGTAAAAGAGAGCTTGATTGGTGAATAGAGAGTTTCAAAGGGGGTTCGAGTTCTTCAAGGAGTCCCCAGACTACCGCCTACTACGTGATTTTCCAGTTCACGAATAACAAGTTTCTCGGAGTGATCTTGTTGCGACCAGCAAGCTTCGATCACAAACGGAGCAGCCTCCCGCGGGGAACTCGGAGCAACGTTCCACCGCGACCGATTCTGTTCCAGTCTTTCCACCATACCAAGTACACCGCCAGCCTTGGCCCCGCAAATCACACCGAGGAGCCCACGACCACACCATCGAGTCCCAGTCGCGAAACCGTCGGCCACCGTCCCGATCCGCGATCCCGAGACGATTCAAACTTGGAAAGTAATCCGTGAAATTAGGTAAGGTTCTTATCTAATTTTTTTTTTTAAATATTTGGATTCCTAATTTTACGTGTTTAAATATTGCGTGATTTTTGTGGATTGTTAGATATTTTAGGATGATGCATGCGATATCCGTGATATTTGAAAACACCCCAAATTAGGATAATTTCCTAATTTAGCAACGTATCTGGACGATTATCCGACCTTATCCATAAGGTATGATACGCGGTGATATGGAAAATTGTTATCTTGTCCATAATTACTTGGATACGATAATAAATTTTATTTGCTTTTCAAACTTGAACAATCAACTTTCTGTCGATAGCTATAACCCTATAGATATGACCGTTAGTTTGATTTCTTTGCCTTATCTGAATTTGAAGAATCTTGCGGATTGCGTGGATTGTTTGAATGTGATTGGTATTTTGTTTGATTGTTTTCCTTTTAAATAAAGAAAATCTAAAAAAATTGTTAGTTAGATTTAAATTAGAAATTGTTTTAATCTTAGTGGATTATTTAGGATATTTAATGATTTCGAATTTTAATAAAAATCCAAAAAAAAAAGAATCACTTTAGGATAGATCAAATCATTTTCTCTAGGATAGATTGCATGTTAATTTGAGTAATTTTTAATTCCGAATTTCATTTGAAAATACCAAAAATAAATCATTTGTCCGTCATTAGAATTAGGTCACGTCGTCGCATGACATATAGTTTGCATGTTAGGCTGCATTAATCGCATGTTAATTTTTGCACGTCATTACATATAGGTTAGTTTTCATTTAAATAAGTGAAAATCTAAAAAATATTGAGTGAACTGCTTGTTAATTAGAAATCATATTAGGATTGTTGATGTGATTTTCTAGCTAACAATGCAGATGCTTACGTTGCTTCAAGGTAAGTAATTCTCCCAATCTTGCAATTTATTTAATGTTTTGATTATTGGGTGTTACTTTGATGGTTTGCGCACCCGCATGATCACCTCACATGCTAGTGACTAAGTTAAAATGAATCCAAACTGTCTGCCAAAACATTTTTTGAAAAGAAAAGGTACCGAAAGGGCGTTAGACTAGATCTAGCGTAACCAAGTCCCCGAGCTTAGAATCTCTGGTTCGTAGGAATAAAACATATCTCCCTATGTTTTATTTAGGTTTATAATCGACCTACCATAAATAGATTAGTGGCAACTCCAAGCATGAAAACTTTTGCATGTTAAAAACTTAAACCCTAAGTTGCGAATTGGTAGGGCTTGGGAGGGCCCGAGTTAGGCTTAGTCTTAACAATCCATTAGCCTGAGAAAATTTAGGTCGCGACACATGCTACCGTTAAGATTTTGCCTCCACGGGAAAGACCGAGGGTCGACAAAGTGACAATTAAGATCAAGTATACGATGTATGTCTTGCCATGCTATAGTATTAGGAGATGGGTTTATCAAGAGGATTCCGAAGTCTGCCATGGGATGTTACTCTTGGACTAATCACAAAATACTCGACATATTGCCTCTCACTGCCTTCCTTTTTTGAATAATTTTAATATTTATAAGCAAATTGTGGTAATTTTTTTGGCAAAAAGGGAAAGAAATGGTCGTACATCCACGAGGTGGAAATTTCAGGTCGAATTCTCATGTCGTGATGGATGGGTTCATGTGCAATCATGACTGCGTGTTTTAACGCGGCATCTTGTTTCTTTTTCCACGGATCGGCCAAAATTGAGAGACCCGTAAAAAAAAGCTAATGTTTTAACATATGATTGTACTTCAAACCAAAAAAAAAATGATTGTACTAATCGCGCATTATCCATAAAATTATTATATACAATACGTATATGATCTTTGTCTCATTTTCTATTTAGTCGGTACACTTGTAATTGCTACATAGAACCACCAAGGTGTCGGTTTAGATGGCCCGAAGTTTTCTTCTCTCCTTGTAGTATTGGGTTCAATCCTTATTGGGAACACTCTCGAAGTAAAATCCTTATTGGACCAAGTCGATACGAGGGAGTACGCCCTTAAGATCGTCTAGGAAAATGAACTGATCAAGGTGTGCAAAAGCTAAATTACGAAAAAAAAAATGTTACGTAGAAGTTGATTGTTGTCGGGTTGGTTGGTTGAACTCAAAAGTCAAGTTGCAAAGCCAAAACTTAGATTAGGAAGCAAGGTACACAAAGGTTACCATACCCTAACTTTTGTTTCTAACCCTTAGATATACATGAAAAAATAGGGTACTAGTGCTAGATTACGTTAAGAAGACGTGCGTGATGTGCTAGTTGAAGTGGCCATCTCAGATTCTCCCCTCGACTAGTGGAAGACTTGGAAGACGACTTTTGAGTCAAGGTGTGGTTGACGTCTTATGCCGAAGGCGGACTAAATGATGAAATGCAACGTCGACTTCACTTACACGGCATGCATTTGAATTTTTTATCAATAAGGTGTAGGAAGTGCCTCAAAATTTCCACTTTAAAGCAGAAGAGATCCGTGGTCCGAATCTTGACCCTTAAAATAAAGTGAGGAAAAAGTAACTTGTATGAAATTTCACTGGCCCTTGTCCTATTACTTCTTTTGAAAAACGCAGTTCATCTAGAAAAATGTCGACTTAACAACAGAGTCATCGATCCTGATAAACTCGTCCATCATCAAAGTCAAAAGATATGAACCCTAATGTAAAATCCGAACGCGCCCTATTACTAACGTGGTTAGCGATCAATCTATTCACTCTTGTTTTTTTTTATTGATCAATGTAATTGTCTAGTCAGCCATCAAAGGATTTAACTATAATTAACTCTATTAATCTTTTTGTTCCCTTTATCGTTTCCTCGTTATTTTAGATTCCTATAAAGCGATTACACCATGAGGAGTACTATATGACATGGTTCCACACAGATTTTGAGCAATTAAGAGTACGTGTACTTTTAACTTTTTGTTGTTGTCGTTGTTGGTTTCAGTACGTACAACTATAAAGTTGAATAATCTCATTAATGTCTTCTTTCGGAGAGGGCGTAAACATAAATTAAGTCTAATCTTTTGAGAATAATGAAGTGTTAAGCCAATTTCTTTTAGTACGCTCTTTAATGACAAAGTATTGTGAAAAGAGTGAGAACAAAGTTGAATTCTTTTTCTAAATTTGAATCAAACAGAAAGATTTACGAAATGAAAAGATGAACAAAGATAACACTAGTGCAGCATAAAAAATAAAAACTAAGCAAACATTTTTGCAGGAAAGTTAATCCAAAATGAATATAGATTAAAGATAGCAAAAATACATTAGGTTGTTAAGAAATTTAATCACTGCCCAAATATATTTTGTTCACATACATACATACGTACATACCTACATACATATATACATACATTCATGCATACATACATTCATCTAAATAAATAATCTTCCCATTTTTTAACGCCGAAAGTCAAATAACTAATCTTCCATATGCTCAAGAAAATTTGATGTTTATGCAGTTTTAAAAAAAAATGTTGTTTTAATGTGTGCACACACAGTACATTTTACTAGTAATATCAACTATATGTTAAACATTGAACTATCCCTTCTTTTTGCCATAAAACACCGAACTATCTTACTTGATTTTTCTGGTAATACAAATTGATTCGATAAAAACATGAGATTTTTTTTTAACTTATCTCGCTAAATTTAGGATTTACAACGTAAATTAACCCTTAAACCCATCTATTAATAGCCTTAAACGAGTGGAAATCGTAAAATTATCCCAATCCCAGTGCTTAGGTTAGTTCAACTGGTTTGTCACAAGGAAGAAAATTCTTTGTTGGGTTTTGTCAAGTTTTGGTATTTTTTTCTTCTTTTCTACGCGAAAAAGACGGGAGGTGTCATTTCACTGGTAAGTGGACCATGCCAATAGTACTGGCAATGAATGGTCAAACACGGCACAAGAAAATACAGCTTTTGACAGATGATGCCTTCATCTTGCTTGGACTCTTGACTCTCCCTACCATTTTCAAGAAAATATCGTATGGTCTTTGGATAGGTAATGGGCTCTACAGTAGATTCTAATTGAGAGGAAATATGTAAAATGATTTAAATTTGTTACTCAGCCTGTACGCAAATTGTGTCAGACGCATGATAGCGCACGCGATATAATTAAGAGAGAAATTTCACTAATCAAAAATCAATATGAAACAATGAATGAGAAAATGAGCATTAAACTTGATGAATCCCAAAACAAAATGACTTTTTTGGTGATAATTTCAAGTGAGGTAGGGAGAGAATAGATGTATAAGTGAGTTTACAGTTAAAGAGACACGGGCCCACCTATAAAAATGGGCTTATTGATGAAAGTCCGCACAAGCAACTCATATGGATGAACAAACAACGTTGAACAACCTCTGTACTTGAAATTACGCCTTCAAGCTGTGAGTCAAAATCAAATGACATGAACAATTTTACATGGGAGATTGTTGCCAATTTCCACTATGTCACCAAAAGAAACGAATGGATACTCTATCGAAAGCATGACAGAGAAATATAGATAAAAGGGGACAATGCCAAGCCGCTGCGCTCGTGCTCTGGATGATAAAACAAATGTATATAGGTCTAACGTCGTGCAGTTTTCAAACCCATACAGAAGGCATACATAAAATCCATGAAAAGTATTGGGGTCAAGCACTTTGAATGGCCAAGTAGCAAGATATTTCCATTGATAGAACGAATTGTTGCTGCCTATAAAAAGCTTCTCCGTTGCACTCTCCCACGAAAACTCACTTCAGTAACCAAAAGAACAAAACACAAAAGCAGAAAAATATGGCAGCCTTATCATTATATCTGCTGCTTACTTGGATGTTCCTACTCTCTCTCTTTCGTACTAGGCTTGCTGAGGTATCATGTCATGCGGATGAGAGCTCTGCCTTAATGAAATTCAAGAGAAGTTTCAAAACCAACACGACAGATTGGCGATGCGTTTATCCAAAGGTCCACTCTTGGTCTCTGGATGGAAGTGGAGATTGTTGTTCGTGGGACGGCATCGAATGTGATGAGGTCACCGGCCGAGTGATTGCCCTCAATCTCAGTAAGAGTTGTCTCTTGGGCACCATGAGTCCCAACACCACTCTCTTTCAACTCGTTCACGTGGAGTCGCTCAATCTTGCTTACAACAGCTTCGACTTCTCCCCAATCTCATACGGCTTCAGCAATCTTTCGAGGTTACAATGCCTTAATCTCTCCCACTCAGATTTTTCCGGTGAAATCCCTCACGATATCTCGCAGCTATCCCGGTTAGTTTCTCTCGATTTGTCCAGTCCTTGGGGCCCGACACTTCATTTGCCCAACATGGGCGACCTTGTTCATAATTCGACTGGGCTAAAAGAAATCGATCTTTCTTTTGTAAGCTTGTCATCACCTGTCCCTCATGTGCTAGCGAATTTCTCTTCCTTGACATCGCTTTGGCTTGGATATTGTGGATTGAATGGAGACTTTCCGGTCAACATTTTTCAGCTGCCAAACTTGGAAGTCCTAGACATTGGTGGCAATTCCAACCTTTCTGGTTTTCTTCCCAAATCGCATTGGGGTTCTCCATTGAAATCCTTATACCTTTACTATACCAACTTCTCGAGAGAAATACCCGCTTCGATCGAAAATCTTAGTCTCTTGAATGAGTTAATCGCCTGGAATTGCCATTTCTCAGGATCGCTTCCCTCTTCATTGGGTAATCTTTCTCATCTCACTAGACTACTCCTTGACGGAAATAACTTGCAAGGTCAAATCCCTGTTTCCATTGCTGATCTTACCAAGCTATCGATGCTAAGGCTCTCTTACAATAACTTGAGTGGAGATACTTTGGAGTGGGTGGTCAACTTGACAAAACTTACCTTCTTGGACATTTCAGGTAATAGTTTCTTCCTCTCTACCGGTTCGGTCGGATCTCTTTCCTTCTCTCTCTGCAACTTCATGGAACCACAGATCTATCGAGCTCCATGGCCGCTTGCTCCCTCCCCGACCACCACTAAAACCCCCGCTGCGACGGCCACAAGCAAAACCAGAAACAGGGACTTCCTCCTCTACCTCAAGGCCTACCTCGGCAAGCGAGACGCCACGAAGATCATCCTCTCCTCCTCCCTCCTGCCCGAAACCCTACCCCCTCCATCAATGGCCGCCACTTGCGTGTTCTGTCGAAGATCAGCGCGTGGGCGGAGTTCGTCGGGTACATTGGGAGCGTGAATCTGAAAATTAGGGATTTGAGGAGGTTGCGGGAGGACGAGACGTGCGTCGAGTCGAGCATCGAGATCGCGACGTCGAGGGGGATCAATTGCGAGGAGGAAGAGTTGAAGTTGAGGAAGTTGTGGGAGAAGAAGTTGACGATGAAGAAGCTGTCCGTGGTTCAGGACCTGGCCGAACTTGCCGAGTCGGAAGGGCGGTGGAGCGCAAGAGATGGGTGGTTCCATGGAGTTGCAGAGAGAGAGAGAGAAGGAAAGAGATGCGACCCGAACCGGCAGAGAGGAGGAGAGGGAGAGAGACTTTTCCAATTTTCTGAACGTGGGACCCACAGTGCCACTTTTTGTCCACTGAGTGGGCTGGTGCATAGATGACGTGGCGTCACATTTGCTCCTAATATCCTCAATTGCGGTTAGTCCATGGTGTAACTAACGCTCCTCTTGTTTTGTGTCTTTTTTATTTCTTTCTGTTTGGTAGATAATCGGCTAAGCGGTGGACTTCCATCTTCATTTGAGAACCTGAAGCAATTGGCTTTGCTCGTCCTTTCTCACAACGACTTGGGCGGTGATATTTCGAGCACATTGTGGAATCTAGAAGATCTTGAATGGCTTTACCTGGGGCCACTTAATCTCAACGGCGTTCTCGATGGATATGATATATTCAAACTCAAGAACTTGAGAGGCTTATATTTGTCCTACAGCAATATATCGTTCACCAAGTCATTCAGCAACGCCACTACATCGAAGCTTGCCTACTTATACTTGGATTCGTGCAACTTGACCGAGTTCCCACAGTTTATAGGCTACTTAAGCGAATTGGTGCTGTTAAACCTACAACACAACAGAATCCGGAGGACCATTCCTAGATGGATGTGGAACAATAGCAAAGAATCTCTCGAGTATATAGATCTTTCTCACAATCTTTTAACCGGCTTCGAAAACAACCAGACCGATCTTCCTTTACCGAACTTGAAGTATCTTGACATGAGTTCTAACTTGCTAGAAACAACCCTCCCTATCTCACCACCCTTGGTCGTGCTATACAACATCCCCAACAATTTCCTATCTGGGGAAGTTCCAACGTCCATTTGTGAAGTGAGCTCTCTTGTTGTGCTTGATTGGTCCAACAATGCTCTAAATGGCACACTTCCTCCTTGTTTGGGTAGTATTGATCCTTTGACTATATTGAATCTAGCGAGAAATAAATTTGAGGGCATGATTCCTTACATTTACCCATATGGTTGTTCATTAAGGATGATCGACCTAAGAGAAAACCGACTAAGAGGTATTGTTCCGAGATCTTTAGGCAATTGCGGAATGCTGGAGTTTTTGAGAGGAGGTCAACTAGGCTTTAACCAGGGAAGTAACTCTTGAGGAGGTTACTGAGGCAACCTTCCAGCTAGGCGGGTTAAAGGCCCCCGGACTAGATGGCTTGAGTGGAAAAATTTTTCAATATCACTGGAAGGATATCCAAAATGAAGTATTCAAGGAGGTAAGACTTTTCTTTAGTTCAGGAAATCTTAACCCTGAATTAAATAAAACCTTTATTACCCTCGTTCCTAAAGTTCCTAATCCAGAGAAGCTAGATCAATTTCGCCCTATAAGCTTGTGCAATTTCACTTACAAAATCATTTCAAAAAGTTATGGCTAATAGATTGAAACCGTGGCTCCCGGAATTGATAGCCAAGAAGCAAAGTGCCTTTGTTAGTGAGCGACAAATTCAAGACAATATATTAATAGTACAGGAGGTACTCCATCAGTTATGAATTCGAAAAAGAAAAGAGAAATTCCATGCAATGCTCAAATTAGACATGAAAAAGGTGTATGACTGGGTGGAATGGGATTTTCTGGAAGCGAGTATGCTGAGAATGGGATTCTGCGAAACATGGGTCTCCTAGATTATGAAATGTGTCTCCATAGTCTCATACAGTGTTAAAATGTATGGGGAACCTTTGCCCACCTTTCAGCCTACTAGAGGAATAAGACAAAGTGACCCCCTTTCTCCCTACCTCTTTATCATTATGGCTAATGTGCTATCTGTTTTGCTGCAGAAAGCGGTGGAAAATGGAAGTATCAAAGGGATCAAATTAAACCACTTCTGCCCAACTTTATCTCACCTACTTTTTGCGGATGATTTAATACTCTTTCTTGAAGGAAAGATTGTTGAGTGTCAGAATGTGGCAGCGGTTCTGAATCAATACTATTTTGCGTTTGGACAAGCAATAAATTTGAATAAGTTACCCACTCATCAGTGGCCGCGTTGGTTTGTGCTCAGTTCCTTTCACGAGAGGTCCTGGGTTCAAACTCGTCCATCGGTGATTTAAGTGGAGGGTCGTGGCGGTGGGATGCTGCGCTAGCCTCCCTCGAGGACTAGTCGGGCATCACCGCTGGTTTGAGCCCTAGTTCGCCGGCCGCGCGGACACCTCGGTTATCAAATTTTTTTTTTTTTGAATAAGTCATGTATGTTTTTCAGCAAAGATTGCCCAAGAGAATTAAGAAGAAATATGACATACGAGCTGAGAGTTCCTGAGATAGAGAAGACAGGGAAGTATTTGGGAATGCCAACCAATTGGGGTTGCTAAAAAAAAACAAATGTTTGCTTGGATCCTCGATAGAGTCAATAAGAAACTGGAAGGTTGGAAAGAAATTTTTTTATCTAAGGCAGGGAAAGAAATTCTCCTTAAAACAGTGGTGCAAGCTCTACTGCAATATGCTATGTCTATCTTCAAAATTCCCCTATCCATTTGTCAAACTGTTGAAAGGAAAATTGCAGCTTTCTGGTGGAAAAATTCTTAAAATAGGCGGGGGTTACACTGGAAAAACTGGGACACTCTTAAAGCAAGAAAGGATGAAGGTGGCCTAGGTTTTCAAGACTTAATTACATTTAATGAGGCAATGTTGGGGCGATAGGCATGGAGACTAATCCATAATCCATACTCTCTCTAGAGTCAACTTTTTAAAGGATTGTATTATCCTCATATAGATTTATTACATGCAAAAAAAGGTTCAAGTCCCTCCTGGGGATGGCAAAGCTTGATTTTAGGCCGTAATGTCATCAGTCAGTCAATTCAATGGGTGGTTGGAAATGGTGAGAGAATCAACATAAGGGAAGATAAGTGGTTGTCGAGAGGCTTGATTGGAGGGCCTGCGAACAGAGAGGATCCAACTCGGGTATCCGAACTAATGGTTAGGGAGGAAGCCAAATGGAATGAAAAAAGGGTGAGAGAGTTGTTTGACTTTGAAACAACCCAGGAAATTTTAACCATTCCCATTAATTCCCAACTTCTAGAGGACAAATTGGTGTGGACACCAACCAAAACAGGGCAGTTCATAGTGGAGAGTGCGTATAACAACATAAAAGCACAGAAAGAAACACCAAATCAGAATCAAGTTTCAACGTCATACCAGAATTATGGAATAGAATTTGGAAGGCAAACTTACAACCCAAAATCAGATTTTTTTTTTGGCAAGTCTGCCAAAATGCCCTCACAACTAAGGAGAATTTGGTTCAAAGACGGATCATACTTGAAGCCACTTGCTTGATATATCAACAGAATCCAGAATCCATAGAGCATCTATTTCTTCTATGCCCCTAGACTCAGCAAATGTGGAACAACCCATCAGTAAACATTAAAGTCGATAGGTACGTAGTGACTCGAATAGAGGAATGGTTGCTGAAATTTAATCATACCTCTGTATCCGTTGAGCTCCTTGCTTTATTATTATGGCAGATCTGGAAATCTCGGAATGACTTGGTATTCAGAACTCAGAAGTTAAATCCCCAACACATCGTCACCTCAGCCATCGCCGCAAAGAAAAACCTGAGTAGATGGTCAGAGAAAACGAATGGAAAACCGCAAACACAGAAAGAATTACCTCCGATTTGAACCCCTCCTCCTCCTGGGGTGATTAAAATTAACGTCGACGGGTCTTTTGTTGCCGAAACAGGGGAAGGGGCCATTGCGTGTGTATGCCGAGACAGCCGGGGTATCTTGATAGATGGGTTTGCTCGATCGGTAACAGTCTCGTCAACGATTTAGGTGAAGGCCGCTGCTGTGCTTGAAACCCTAAAACATTTTGAAGCAAAAAGTGAACTGAAGATCATGTTAGAGACATATCGAACTGATCTGGAGATGATGAGCGAGGGAGCAGATCAAGTGAGTTGGGAAGCTTATGCATGATCACCGAAGCCTAGGCCTGTGCAAAGTTATTCAGCAATTTAAAGATGACCCATTACCGAAGAGAAAGTAATCAAGTTGCAAATTGGGTCGCCAAAGCCCACCATAATAAATGTTTACCGGTTAATTGGGTCACTTATCCCCCTACTTGTCTTTTGGAATTGCATTGTTTTGAAGCCTGTATAATGTCGCAAACTTTTACTTGAATGAGTATATGATATAATGTTTTCTAACAAAAAAAAAAAACCTGGTCGCCCTCGATTGGACTTTGAAACTTTCTTTCCCCTCCATGATGTTGCCAGGCAATCTCTTAACGCTAAATCCGCCCAGAGTGAGACACAATCTGCAATTAGTGAGTCATGGAAAGTTAGACCAATTATCCAAATCATACATTGGAACGATATTTAGTTTGATTAAGACAAAAATAGTTAAGCTAAAAAGATAATACTCTTGGAAATTCATACCCTTAGAAGACGAAGTCGGAAAGCTTATTCTGGTAGATCACTGATCTGACTTTTCAGGGTTAGAGCACATGATGATGCATCTCCTATTGAAATTAAGTGTGCTTTCATATATGGACCATAATCTTTAAAGAAACAAACTGATAACAATTTAGATACTGATATAGGTTTCTTGATGAAAAGACTGTAGACATCAATAGAACAACTTCATGTAAGCCTCGAGTATGTGAGACATGATCATTGGATGCATGTCAAAAGAGGTTTTCAAAGATGATGCATCACAAAGGTCTTGCTTTGAAGCACTTGAAGGACTAGTAAGAAGGAAGAAACTCAGTCGGCTAATGCGTCGTGCAGCAAGAGGTGAAGGGCTCTATAAATAGGTAAATACTTAGTCATGCTCATTGTTGGTGCAGATAGACTCACACAATTTGCATTTAACACGTTCCCATACTAAGAAATACTATCAACGGTAGGGTTTGTTAGAATTGATTTTCTCTAGGAACGCGACCATATGCATCCTGTTAGTGATTCCTTAACTATTTAAGAAATGAAAAATCTAGACCGTTGGATTGTCAATGATTTTGATGGATGGAAACGTCAATAGCAATATCACGGTATTGAAAGTACCAATTATATGTTTATGATAAAACCTTAAAGTACATAGATAAATTGCTATTTACTAATGAAAGTTATAGTTCATTACATTGGGCTCACATCTCTTTCATATTATTAATTAAAGTAGTTGCACTTACCATTGATCGGAAAGATCTCCAACAACAGTTAAACCCGTTCATCTAGCATACATGTTGTCTAATATGTCTCTAAATGAGAGAATTAACATTGTCTGAGCAATTAAACAAGCAAATGCAGAGAACTATTTTTGTCCATATAATTAACTATTAGGTAAATAGGAGCATTGGACGTATTTAACAACTATTTTTTAAAGAAAATATGCAACTCTTATATGATATTACCCATAACAAGAAGCCGTAGCTATGTTAATTATCTTTGAAATGCATTAATTTATAATTACAAAAGAACAATATATAGATCGAAAAGTCAAAAATTATTTCAAACATTGTATCTCATGGTTATTGCATCCATACAAAAGATAAATGTACAATACATAAATGTACATTTTATCCGATTCTCGACAACAGAAGAGCATACGCGTATGTCGATTGAAAATGTGAAAAAGTAATCATTCTGCACACGTATGAAAAAATGCATGAAGAATTGAATCGAGATCTTCATGGTATGCTTGACAGTTCATATGGGTAAATCATTCACCAACTCAGATAAGAGAGTTGGGACAAAATGTAAACCGACTCAGATAATCATGTGCACACGTACAAAAATATACATGAAGAATTGAATCAAGATCTTCACGGTCTGCTTGCCAGTTCATATGGGTAAATCATTCGCCGACGCAAATAAGAAAGTTGGGACAAAATATAAATCGATCGGTTCAATTATAGCAAAACCTTTTCCTATTATTTGAACTCGAAGTATGTATGCTTGGTCAAGTTTACGCAACAACAGTCATCAAAGTGGAAACTTTTTGGGTTCGCATGTTATTCAAGGCGAGCAAAGACCCTGCTACAAGCTCAAAACAAGAACCAACGCTGACAAACTCAATCAGCAACAGCAATGTTCCTACAAGCCTAATAGCAGTGGCAGCAATTAAGAAACCCATTCAAAGAGTTACCATTTACGACACAAAGCCTTGTGCTTA